CTCCAAGGCCTAGTTCAAATGACAGGTCTTTCAAGAAGCTTTCTTTTATCACTCCAAACTCTCCAAAGTACTTAGTGTGTACTTAAAACTTGTTTTATCTATCCATTATACTAGTAATTTTTTGACACAGGATTTTATGTCTGATTCATAGTAAGTTCTGATTCACAGCAACCAGTACAAATGCCTTGCCCACAGTACACACCCATTGGTGGTTTGAAGGAAGGAAGAGGCAAATCGCTTGAACAGATGGCTGGATGTGGGCTGAAGATAGCTGTAACAGCAGGTATGGTTCGCTGTAGATGGTACAGTGATCAGGGAAGGCTTCAGGAAAGAAATGGCATTTGAGGGGCATCTTAAAATAAGGAAAGGAATTAGAAATTAGGATGGGAACAGAAATATTTCAGTTAATTGAGTGCGGGGTTCAGAAGTAAAGCAGGAAAAGAGAAAATGGGAAGAAATTTAAAGTCAGACTGGGAAGGTATGGAATCCCTGGAAAAGGATCTGGGCTGCTTTTGTAACTAAAGAGGAGTGATGAAAAGTGCTAGATTCCACTAACATAAAAATGGGGGCACGGGAGCCCTGGCTGGCGTAGCTCAGTGGATTGAGCGCGGGCCTGCGAACCAGAGTATCGCGGTTCGATTCCCAGTCAGGGCACATGCCTGGGTTGCAGGCCAGTTCCCGGCAGGGGATGCATGAGAGGCAACCACACATTGATGTTTCTCTCCCACTCTTTCTCCTTCCCTTCCCCTCTCTCCAAAAATAAATAAAGAAAATATTTTTTTTTAAAAATGGGGGCATGGGAGACCAGAAAGACAGACAGAATGGACAGATTAAACTGGTCTCAATTTTCAGCTTCCTTGCAACCAACATTTTAAAAAAAAATTTGTTTTCAAGTTTTCAGAGGATGACAATGTTACCAAAGCAATGACCTTTAGGTAAAGAACTGACTACATAAGCACACTTCAGTTTGGTAGGGCAGTTTCTAAATGCTAGGGGAGGCAAAAGTAGGTTTACAGTTGTGAGTACAAAACACAGAGTTCATTCTTGTATTATTATTTATTTACTGTATTATTTGTCTTTTACTTTTATTATTATTTCATATTTTTACTTATGATTTATCTTTTAGGTAATGATGGCTATTAATTTAACCTACTTTTGCCCACCTCTATATATGGCAAAATCAACCCATCATGTTTCAGCATATTTATAAATTGTGATTGTACTATAAAGTAGGAGGAAGCAGGAAACTTCTCCAATACTCTTTGCAAGGTGTTTACTACCCCACGTCTCTGGCCAAAGTGTTCTAAGAAGGTAAGAACCGTAAGTCTCCTTCCTTGCCCTGGCTTGGGGGGGTCTCAGTTGGTTAGGGCATCATCCCACACACCAAAAGGTTATGGGTTCGATCCCGTGTCAGGGCCCATACCTAGATTGCAGGTTTAATCCCCGGTAGGGAGGCAACCGATAGCTAGTTCTCTCACCTCCATGTTTCTGTCTCTCCACCACCCCCCCTTCTTTCTCTTCCTTCCTCTCTCTCTAGTATCAATAAACATATCCTTTGGTGAGTATTTAAAAAAAAAACCTCCTTCCTTAACTCCTTTTCATGGTTACTCTTTTTCAGCCCCTACCTCTGTTAGACCCTTCTAGGTTTCCTGCTCTATCAGTTTGCTGTGTTGAACCTTCAGGATCAGTCTATTTACATCTCTTTAACAAGAGAGCCCAGAGTCTCAATGTCTGCCCGCTTCACTGGAAGCCTGGACAAGGACGTAGCTGTCCTCTAAGATGCCTGGGACAGCTGAGCTATGGAACTCCTCTTGCTGGAGGAGGAAAGAAAAAATCATGGACCTAGAAGTTCTGTACCAGCTCCTGCTCTTGCCAAGTTGTTTATCCATTCTTTTGGACTGAGGAGTCAATCAGGCCACAAATACAATTTCTTCTGCTAACTTTCAGGGTCAGACCTATTCATAGAATAGTCTGAGGGTAGCTATTTAATGAAAGAAAGGATATCACTTACCAAAAATATCTCCCTGATACTACCTGAAATTCACTAATTAAGGGTGTAAGTTAAAAAAAGAAACATGATCTTAGAAAGTTTACATTAGAGGGAACCTTGCTATCAGGCTCTGTACTAGGGAAAGGATCTGATTAACCTAATCCACACAAAGGGAACAGGGTTTGCTGCAGGGAGGTCGGGGGTAGGTCAGGGAGAAGCACATGGGAAAGGACCATGAATAGAAAATCTGTGAGGTCATTTCAGAACATGGTGTATCTTCAAGGAGAAATTCAGGGAGGATTGGAGAGGACTAAACAACAGAATGAGGGCAGTGGGATCCCGAAAGGTAGCCAAGCTAAGAAGTAGAAAAAAGTGAGAAAAGAGCCATAGCTCAGAGAATTTGGTGAGTGAGCTCCAAAGGCTGACTTTACCTTGAGTTATTGCCAAGGTCCTCATTTACTCCCAAATGTTCAGCCCAGGTCTCACTTTCTGTGGGAGCATCCAAAGTGAGGTGGAAGGCACAGAAACCTGACAGGGAAGTGTGGCCAAGTGAGGCTGGGAGTGGGATGTACAGGTGAAGCACAGGAAGAGGAGGTTTCATAATGGAGCCAAAGAGCTGGAACCCAAAATGGGATCCAGTTCATTAGAATTCCAGGTGTTTGGGGACTTCTATGTTTCCCAGCCTACATTTTTTTCAAATTGTTGATGCTGGAAATTCTGAGTATGCTTGGATCAAAGAAATATGTGATCAGCAGCCACCATTCAGAATTCACCAAGCTCCAATAAGACTGCTTCACTTGAGCTCAGAAAATGAAAACTGCAATAAGGCAGAAATTTGTAGAAACACAAATACAAGTTAGTTTCTCCATAAACATTTCCAAGACAGATCGCACTAATTATTTTCAAAAGTCCTTCAAGCCAAAGGTGATACATATGTTTGGAGTGAAAACACTCAGCAGCCCCGGTGGTGCCTCCACACCACCTCCACCTGACACCACCGCCGCTCATTCCCCTCTCAAGTCATATCCAGTCCTGATAAAGCCTGCCCCATATGGGCTGGTATCCTCCTCCTCCCACAGAGCCAGTGACGTGCCTTCCAAGGTACCCAGGACCCACATGCTCCTCTCCAGTCTCCTCCCCTCAATTCAACTGCTTCTTAATCTACTATGTGCATAACTATCTCAACACGTGACTCGCCCCTCTGCCTTTTTACATATGTAAATGCATTTCTAATCCCCTCCTATGAGTGGATGAATGATCCCACTTTAACCCTTCCTGGCTCACTCCCACTCCCCCTCTACTGATGCACCAGGGGCGGAGGTCCTCTGCAGGTGGACCTTTACCTCTCAGACATGACTCTGACAAACTGAGTTCAGTCTTGCTAATCTCACACTATTCCAACGAGATTTAGAGAAGTTATATCAGCTTTCTTATTATTCACTCAGATGAAACCCTGCACACTCCCATGGCAGTCAGTCCTCATGCCTTCCCCATAACACACAGCCTTTCCACACTGCTTAGATCAAGGCCAAAGTTAACAAAGTTTCCCTACTCTTTCTCCCCACCTATTGTTTGCCCCACCTGTATGCTAACCTACCCAACAACTGTTCATTGTTATCATAAATTTTTTTATGTTGCCAGAATTTGAAAATTACAGTGGAATTTTCACACTTGTTTATATCCTGGCTTCTTATGAAACAATTATTCTAATAAGCTCAATATCCCCATTCTTTAGCACCCCACCTTCTGCTTTACATACCGCAGTCTCCCCCTTCTAGGCAGCCAAGTCCCAGCATCATTCTTCTGCAACCAACTATAAACTCTGTCCTAGACAGAGGTCGTCGTTTTTCCCCACAGGTGTTACCATGTGGATAAGCTCTAACCTCACTCTTCTGAGTTCAATAGCCCTAAGTTAGACTAACAGCACCATCCAGTTACCCTGCACAAGAACCTGACTTCCCCAAATGTTTTCACATTCATTTTCCTCTTATCTGAGCCTCATGACATCCCAGAGAGGGACCGTTATTCTTCTCATTTTATAGATGAGGAAGCCAAGATTCAGCAAGGATAAGCAGATATTTAAAGGCTAGAGTCAAGACTCTAACTTCTGTGTCCAGCCCCAACTCTCTTCCCAAGCACATTTCTGAGAATACATCCAGCTGCCAAGCAAGCCCTACACTTCTGCTGCAAGTCTTACAGGGGATACTGCAGGCCCCGTGGCAGGTGGAGGCCTTGGACCACATCACTCTTTTACTCAATTTCCCACTCCCAGCATCAAGTCTTCATACACAAATTTACCCCTCCCAACTCCCTACAGATTCTTACTTCTTCTACGTTAACGAAGTTCTTTTCTTCTGCTCGGAGAACAGTCTTGCCCCTTCTCCACTGATACCCACTCTGCCAGGAGAAAAAAGCAGTCTTCCTCTTTTATTCAAGGACTTACTCACACTTTTTGATTCGGTAACCACGAACTGTAAAAGTATACATTTATTTGTGGCTTTGGGTCCATGCTCTCTGTCCTCCCCCTCTCCCGGGCTGTTTGAAGATTTCCAGTTTAGAGGGTAAGCTCCTGGCCCAAAAGGCTCTGCTTGGCCAGCTGTGGATACTTGCACAATGCCTTGCATTCAAAGGCACATAAACATTGATGATTATGATCTTTTAAAAAATTACTCCTGTTCTTGATCTGAAATAATAATAGAAACCAGCTGCCAAAAGCATTAAGAGCATTATTTACTTCAATTCAGAGTTGTTGAATAGGAGTTAGCTTAAAAGAGCTATAAAGTGAAAGACAAGGGCACACTTGTTTATATGCAGTCCCAAAGGTATAAAATGAAATACTAAGTAATTTTTATTAGCTCCCCTCAACAACGATCCAGTTCTACTGCACAGCAAGGTCACCCTGGGTAAGAGGGTCCTAGTTACCAGCATTCCCACTACAAGAAGGAGGTGATCAGCTATTCCAACTGTATGTGTGCTCCAGAAAAGCAACAGCTGGCTTCGTGTGACTTACCGGTTTGTCCTTGATGGTGGGGCTCGACACGCACAGGTACAGTTTCCCATCTTCTTCTAGGCAGGCATCTATCAAAGCTTGTACTGAACTCTCCTCCTGGAACAGCAGAAAGGCGTAGCCTTGGGGAGAAAAAAAAATGGTGTGGGGAGGAATCAGTGAATTGAACTCAAAATACCAATTAAAACTTTACCTATTATTTTACTAAAATCTAAGAACTTGCAGTGGGACACGGGGAAGTAATAGTTACTGACATGTTTTGTGCCAGGCATCGTATTAGGTGCTCTACAGACACTACCTCATGTAGGCCCGACACATGCAACAACACGAATACACCTGAAACACATTATACTAGGCAAAAAAAGCCAGGCACAAAATACCACATATTGTACGATTCCATGTATATGGAATGTTATAATAGGCAAATATATGGAGATCAAAAAATAGATCAGTGGTTGCCTAGGGGACTGGAAGGAATATGTACAGGGTTTTTTGGGGGGGTATGATGAAAGCTTTCAAAAATTAATTATAGTGGTGGTTGCATAACTCTGTGAACATACTGCAAACCACTGAACTATACATTTTAAATGGTTGAACTATATGGTATGTGAATTATATCTCAACAAAAGTTGTCAAAAAAAAAAGCCAAACAACAGGCTAGTGTGTTACTTCTGATGGCGATGCTCTGTTTCTCCAAGGAAGCTCCTCTCCCGCCTCACGACAGCGTATACGATCTACAAACACGGACGCTAGCTGCAGGATTTCCATGGACACAGCCAGCTTTGTTCAGTTCAATTCAGTAAGATTCAGTGAGCAACTCTAAAAGTGGGGCACAGTCTATGAATTAGGAGAAAACTGAGATGAACAAGACTAGGTTCCTACTGTCAAGAGGATTATGCAGTAGAAGAAACAGATGTTTAGACATTGAACTGCAAGCTCCAAGTTGAGGGACATAAGTGGAGACAAAAGGTACCAGGGGGCCCCTGAGGAGTAAGGACTCTGAATTGGGAGAATCCGCAAAGACTTCAAAGAGGACAACAGACACTCAAGGGGCCAACTCTGGCACTTGCTGCCACACTGGCATTCATGAATGACAGCTGAGCGATGGCCTGCCTTGAGCGGTCTAAGCCTGAGTACTCAACTATTCAACCTCTACAACCCCCCTAGCTTTGTTAAGTCTCTCAAGCTGTCACCTCCACTCCCAGTTCTGCTACTGATCTCAAAGGAAATCATCGCCAGTGCAGTTCTCCTCTGGTGCATGGTGTGCCAGAAAGGTAAGTAGTGCAAAGATATAAAACCCTCACATTCAGAAGATTCTCATACCTCAAAGATGTTAACCAACTAGCCTAGAAGCAAAGCTCTCTGGAGTCCTGGGCAGCTTGTAATGACATTGGCAGTGGATAATGAATGATGAGTACTTCTCTTTAAATCCTTTTCCAAACTCCTCCTCTTCTATACAAAGCATCCAAGCAGACATAGCAGGAAAAGATCAAGTCCGACTTAGCACACCAAGAGTGACCAATGCAACAGGCAGAAGCCAACAAACAGGGAAAAGCACCGGCCAGAGGAGTGAGTATGTCGATGTAAGAGGGAGGCTGCCTGCATGTTGCACCCAGAGCTGTTCTCCGGGCTTTGCTCTCAGGCCAATGGGTCAGAGGGTTCAGCAGGGGGCCAGGCAAGAAAAGTAAATCCTAACTGCAAAACTCTAGAAGATAATACACCATTTCTTCATATCTTTTCTCTTGTGGAAACAGTATCAAACTATCACCATACTCCAGGGAATCTGTTAAAAATTCAGTATATTCATCTAATGTGAAAACATTAATTCCACTTGCCCAAGAGAGTGTTAGAGATGAGTGAGTTAAAAAATGCAACCTCCACAGAGAGGAGGTGTTAGCATGTGCTCTCAAACCTCCCGCGACCCCGGGTTAAATCCTGGTACAGATCGTCCACAAAGGTCCTCAGGGGTGTACGGGATATCCTGTTTTAGGAGAGCACCCTGTCTGTGTGCACTGTGCACAGACACATCAAAAAGGCCTGGTCGTGGGGCATGCCAGTAAACTGGGCCTGTCCCCAACTCCTTGCCACTGGAAGGCCACCGGGTAACTGCCCCTTTCCTGCATGTCCCCACCCACTCTCTGCAATCTTCCACATCAAATCCTGCACTGGGTTCAACTGGGCATCAGAGGAAAAGGAGGGTATGTCCCCGTAGCAGCTGAGTAGCTCCCACAAAGGCATGCAGATTTCCGCTCAGGCCTATCTCAGTCTAAAAGGCAACACTGGCAGTGAGCAGAGTAAAAACAACTGGGAGTCACAAGTAAAAGCCTGTGACAATGTTATTACCAAGAAAAATAGCTACAAACAACTTATTTCCTTTTCCCAGGAAATGGCCCATAATACGCTACCAATTTCTTCAAGATGGCTCTTTTACAACAAATCATCTCTATGCCCTGGTCAGCAAGCTGCCACTCTCAGTAATGACAATATTATCTTAGCACTACAGATAATGTGTGTGACTCAGGTCCAGCAATTTCCTTCAATCCTACTTCCTATCTCAGGTCTCCCAACCAAACAAAATGCACCAGAAACACTACAAATCACTCATGGAAACAGCTTTATGATACTTTCACCCACTAAAACACCTTCTGATAGATAACCCCTAGATCAAGCAAACCAAGATGACAACAGAAATCAGGGGATTAAAAAAAAAATCAGGGAGGAAGACTCCTTCAAATACATTTTCTCTCTTGATCTTCAAAAATTCAAGGTCAAAGTAAACAAAGCAGAAAAAGATCCCTTCAAGAATAACAAGGTCAATGTGAGGTAGAAATTAAATCAATGATTTACTAAAAGGTAAATTCCACAAGGTACTATGAAAAGAGTTCTGGACTAGCAATCAGAAGGTCTTGATTTGGGTCTAAGCCCTAACGTTTACTGTGTGTGGTAATAACAGCTAATAGCTACCATCCACTGAGCATCTACTACGCACCAGGCACTGCTCTAAGTGCCTTATGTGTATTAATTCATTTCACCTTCACACACACCTGTGGGGTAGCCACTATCTTAAATTCTGTTTTACAGTTATAGAAATTACAGAGTCATTAAGAGACTTGTTCAAGGTCACCTTGTAGCTGGTAAAACTATGAACTTGAATATTAATTAAAAAATGTCTAAGTCTTGGCTCTTTTCTCTGTAGAATGAAACTAAGTATTTGTCCCGATTATCTTATAGATAAGTATGTTATAAAATGATATATGTGAAGATACTCTGTAAATTTTGTATGTGAAGATAGGATAGCATGCAAGTGTTAATTTTTCTTTTACTGCATTTTCAGCTATTTATGTGATATGCAAAATTAAGTTTTGTATGTCTCACTTAAAATTAATTTAAATTAATGATATATGCTTTTTATTTTGTATTTATAAGTATTTGATAAATAAAGGGCAGTAATCTAGATAACAAAGAGAAATCTTAATTGAAGTTTTTTTGAATGATGGGTTGACTATTACTGTAAGCAAACAAAATAACCAAATATTTGCTTTCATGTATGATTAGCCATTTCCACCAAAAAAGAGAATGATCAGATGGGGTATCTTTGCTGATATTAATACACTCTTTAACTAAAAGCCCATTATACCTATAAATTAAGTTCTTCAAAGTGTCACTATGATCTCAGGTTCTCCTATTAGTTTGAAAGATATAAAAAAAACTTTTCAAAAAATGATAAACTCCCTCACCTCTGAGCCAGACAGAGATAACAGGGTTATAAAACTCCTTAAGTGTCAGAACTGGTGACCTTGTTTCCCAAATACCTGAGGAGTATGTGGGTGTTTTGGAGACACGGTGACCGACCTACAAGAGGCCCTCAACTCAGAGCCAGTCTGTGGGTGGAGAAGCGGGCTCTGGGGAAGCAGCAGGAACCCTGGCACTGTCACCATCACGGCCCTGGATTACAGGCAGAATAGATGGCAGAAAACTGCTTGCTTTCCACTGGTGCCAAACAGGCTGGGGGAGGAAGGGCAGAAGTGTGAGGATTCGTGGACAAGCCTGGACTGACAAATGCACTTGTCTGAGGTAAAGACGAACAGGAAGGTATGGGGGGTTGGTATAGGTGCTAAACTGGGAAAATTCCATTTTGCTTGGCCAGGTTTTTAACGGGAAAATTTAATTAAAAGATTTTTTTCTCTTAATACTTGAAAACACATTAAGTATAACAACCTTCAAAATGTTCTTGGCTACCTTTCAAAAAACAAAGATCCCTGAGTGCTTAAACACATCATTTTGCATGTTATAATTTTTTAATACAGATCCCTAGTGCAAATAACACCACCACCACCACCTTCACAACGGCAAACGTCAGTTCCCAAGTGCTTACAATGTGCCGGGCGCTTTGCTAATTAATAAGCACTTGACGTCTGTTAGCTCTTTTCTTTCTCACAGCAATTCTATGAAGTAAACACGGTTGTTACTATTACCATTTTATAGATGAGAATAAGGGACACGTCAGATTAAAATCTAAAAATTAAATTTAGAATTAAAACCTAGGTCAGTTTCCAGGGCTCTCACTCTTTAGCCATTAACTCACACTGTCTCACCTAAGAATGGTAAGATAAATTTTCATGTGTCAATTTGCTACTTATCGTCATTTTGTGATAATGGTCATTTGCTACAGAAGTGACAACAAATAATAATAAAAAAAGTGTTTTAGCAACAAGAAGTGATCACCTGAGCTCCAGTCCTAAAATTCAAGGCTTATGCAGCTACATTTGCTCTAACGCCCACAAAACCTATATTTAGGAGAGTTAAAATGAATTCCAAAATAATCATGAAAAGTTTAGATTTAGTTTTATTTAGGTCAATCACATTTTCTTTTTTTTAATATATATTTTTTATTGATTATGCCATTACATTTGTTTTATTTCCCCCTTCATTCCCCTCCACCCTGCACACCCCTCCCCCACCATTTCCCCCCCTTTAGTTCATGAACACATGTCTCAAGTTCTTTAGATTTTATATTTCCCCTACTATTCTTGCCCTCCCCCATCTATTTTCTATCTATTGTCTATGCTACTTATTTTCTGTACCTTCTCCCCCCTTCTCCTCCTCCCACTCCCCTGTTGCT